ACTTTGTCGATGAGTTTGGTTTTTTTTTTTTTTACCTTCTAAAATCCAGTATTTTGGTTTGGTAGAGTTAAAAATGAAACCCATAATCAAGATATAAATCTAAACAAACCAACGGGCCTTAGCCCAGTGGAAAAGAGCATTAATTTGAACACCAGAAGTCTCAAATACGATCATAATTGTGTGTGTGAGAAATCCCTGATCATAATTAATTTTTTTGGGCCTTATCCCAGTGAAAAAAAGCATTGATTTGCACACCAGAAGTCTAGCTTGTACTCAAACTTAAAAAGCAAAGAGATATAAACAATAAACTATATATATATATAAATAGCAAATATCTGGCAAAGAAAAGCAAAAGTAGCTAGCTCACCCCAGTTTGAGAGCTAAGGTGACGTCGGAGCAGTCATCTTCAAGAGATAGACTGAGACCACTGCTGCAGCTGCTGATGGTTGCATTTGTGGCAGATTCAGATGACATGCCTTCTTCTTCTCCTCCACCTCCAATATTATTAATCAACCTCTCCGGCTCCATAAGCGCAGGTCCAATATTTCCTCTGGATAACATCTGCTATGCAAAAAAATACGAAGTAAAAAGAAAGAAAGAAAGAAGAAAGAAGAAATATGTACATGATTGTGGTAGTTGCTTACCCTCTGCCGTAGCTGGTTGTTGGCTTCTACCAGCTCAGCTTCCTGAAATTATAGTCAGTGAATAGAAGAGAAAACCAGAGCCAAACTTGGTTATTATTGCTGATGTTAGAGTCTTGATTATTATAAATAGTTGAAATTTCTTTTCATTTACAGAGTATATGTACAGTATATCAATCGTCTAACCTTTCTTTCAAGTGCCATAATCTCACTCATATTCAGTTCTTCCTGAAAAGGAATGGAATATTTGCGTTTACATCTCATAGCTTATTTGCATATATGTAACCAAAACTGCATACACCTATAGTTTTCAGAAAATAAACCAGCTATAATAGCAACTCAAACCTCAGTGACAACCCAGAATACACCTACGCTTTTCAATAAAAAGAACAATTATATACCCTGTTTGCACAAAGGAGTTTTTCAAACAAAGGACAATTGTGGGACATACTTTATATTGTTCCAACGGTTCATTATTTAGGTTTTCATTCAAGAATCATCGAGAGAAAAACAAAAACAATATCAGAGACCATTTCATTAAATGGTAAGGATTTGAGTGTTTGTTTGAGACCTTGTGTTGTTTATATATTGGAACACAAATTCAATGTCTTAAACCAATTAACTAACTTTCTCCAACGGTTTCGATCGATCATTAAACCACAATACAGAGTAATTAATGCCTTCCCACCATGCTTACTAGAAAAGAAATTAGCTAGGTCAGACCTCAGTTTCAATCGCACGGCCAAGGCTTGCGTCCACCAGTTGTTCTAACTTATGCAACTCATCAAAATTCAGCTCTTCAAGATCCTCTCCTTTCATCTGCCTGTTGCAAGCCAGTCCAATTTCAGCAGATACATCAAACGATATAATACCAGCTAAACAGCCAAATATATCTTACAAATTATTACCTCAGCTGGCGGCTCTTC